GATATTTATCGACGGTACACCTTCTTCGATAACGATAGAAAAATAGTTTGATGTAGCGCACGATATAGGCACGTGCTATGAGTGACGCAGACAGCGCACGCAAACATGAACACGTGCTGAAATGAGTGCTGTGCCTGCCTGTGATGAGGAGATTGTAAATAAAGAATGAATATTAGTTGAATTTAAAATAAAATAAACATTTGAATGTTAGGTGTGCGTCAGGGAGCGTCATCAGTGGCGCGCGAGATGCGGTGATGATGATGTAAGTGACGTTGTAGTTTAATGTTTTGTTAGTCTAGCCCACGAGACGCGCCTCTGCTGCGTTATTCATTCAAAATATTAGAGAAATATAGAAGCTCAATGCGGAGAAGATATTGATTAGGTTAAAACCGAAACCAAGCCATTCACACGGAACACATTTTTTAGACGGACAAATATGACCGCTACACAAGAGATGTATAGAAAGCCATGCGAAGTTAAAGCAGTTTAAACTTTTAGAAAACACGTCGCGGATTTGTAGAGGTTTATTCCTTTTCACTGCGTCTCATATGTTTTTAAATGCAGTTTGTGTGAATGGCGCTTCGGCTCTTTGGATTAAGCAATGCATAAATACATGATGCTGTTTTGTTCATATTTGTTTACGCAATTTGAGTTAATTAGACGTAATGCATGTTTTTTTATAGAGTTATTTCCTTGCGTTGACAATTTAAATGCACTGCATTATTTTGCTCATTGTGCCCTCCTGTGGCCTCGGGAGACAAGACAAAAGTTTCCTTAAGACCTATTTAATCTGCATATAAAACATTAGAAATGCGATATTTGTTTACTTTTTATTTTGTGTTTGATTGTTAAAACCAAAAATATTTGTTGTTTGTCTCAATAAATTGGGTTAATTTAAAAATACAGTGGTTAAATTTAAACATTTTTTTCTATAACTCCGTTTTAAAAAAGGTTATAAAAAATGTCAATAATTATCGATTCCGAACGATATGAAACATTATATCATTGATACATTTTTTAGCTATATCGCCCAGCCCTACGTGAACGCTCCTCCTACTCTCCGTTCCCCACATGCACACTCACGTTTAGTGTAGTTCAACTGTTTGGAGTGGATACGCTGTACAAACGTCTTGCTTTGTTCTCCGAGATCTTTTCTGTATTTGGAGTAAAGATGTATTGTTCTCATTCTTTTCTAGACTATAATCGAGCGCAGCAGCTTTGCGATGGTCATCGTTTGTGCCGTTTTGTGTAATGTAAAGCTAGAATTGTGTTTTAATGATTTAATGTTTTGTTTTTCAAACAGCTGCCACCCGTACAAAATGAGCCCAAGAGAAGATGCCCCTGCTGACCGGTACGTTCTTCATTGTGGATTACATTTTTTACCTTCTAAACACAGAACTCTCTCAGACTAAAGGACGGATGTGATTGCAGTGAAGCACAATGATATGTGGCTTTGAAGAAGGGCAGGGATTGGGTTTAATTGCTCTGAAAGCACACAGTGAGTCAACAGAACAGACTGTAATCAAGCTAATAGCTTTCCGCCATTGCCTGGAGTGTTCATTTTGTTTTTAATTCATAAAAAAAAAAATGTGTGAAGGTAGGGGCTTTTGAAGCCTTTAAAGTGTCTGGAGTTTACTTTTCAAAATGAAAAAAAAATCTTAAATGTAAAAAAAAATTACATTGGCAATAGACCGTCAGGAGTCAATTAGCAAGATTAACTCATGAATAAATAAAGTTAAGATTTATTAAAAATGACAATGTGTAAGCAGCCTGTAAGTAGTTTGTAACCAGTGTTGCTATTGTTAACTAAAACTATTACAAATGATCAAATTGATAAAATATAAAAAATATTTAAAATTTTTGGTGCTTGAAATAAAGCTGAAATAAAATATAAATATTAAAATGAGGGGGGAAAAAAAATTAAATGTTTGAAATGTTGCCTTGGCAGCATATTGAAGTTAAATGACTAAAACTGAAACAAATTAAAATAAAGCTATATATTAAAAAAAAAACTAATAACAAAAGCATACAACAAAATTAAAATGAAAAGTGAAAATATAAACATAAAAGTCAATTCAAAGTATTTTTTAAAAACTAACATTAACTAACACTAACTAGGGATGCAAAGACAGAATATCAGCGTCATTTATTCATTTCCATCCTGTATTTAGTTGTGTATATACTGACCATTTATGAATGAGTTAATATGAATATAGCCATAGAAGGGCTGTGTGTTTGTGTACATAAAGTAAAAATTCACTTCTAATAATAATAATGTTTTATTGTAGTTTGACTCATAAGAGTATGGATACTTAAAATATTTTATGACTAGAAAATAGCATGGATACACCGTTTCCTGCTTTTACTCTCATTATTGCATATTCTTGAAAAAAAATGAATAATGAAATCTGAAAACTTTAGGGACTGCTTCCCTAAAATGTCATGATCTCACATGAACAGGCTGCTGACGGTGCTCTTCTCTCTTCTCTCTTCTCTCTAGCGGCTTCTTCGTCGGGATCATATTCTTCATCCTTGGCCTGGGAGCGCTGTTGCCATGGAACTTCTTCATGACGGCGTCTATGGTAACGGAATGCGGAAAACATTCCAAATATGGGAGTTGAACCCAGCGCTGGTCAAATGGGAATAACACGGGATGTTCTCAGAAGTTCAACTCCATTGTTTCCATTTTTAAAGGCACTTTAAGCTGAGAGAAACTCCTGTAGTGCTTCATTGATCTCGTTTCGATCTGAATTCTCCAATACGTTCCCTAATTAGTTTGCTACAGTGGTTGGCTAACAGCCAGGATTGAACCGATTAGCCTAGAGTTTTATCTTCTGTTCTTGCACTCACGATTTTTGTTTTTTTTAAGCAATGATAGTTAGTTAGTAGAATAGTCTAATTTGAGACGCATTTAAGTTTAAACCAAAAAAACTAAATATAATTACACTGCAAAAAATGGCTTATCTTAGTATTTTTCTTGTTTCTAGTCAAAATATCAAAAAATTCTTAAATCAAGATACTTTTACTAGATAAGCCAATTATTTAGTCTTGTTTCCAGGTGAAAAAAAAAACTAAATTAAGTGCATTTTGCTTAAAACGAGAGCATTTTACTTACCCCACTGACAGATTTTTTTTACTTGTTTTAAGCAAAATGCACTTAATTTAGTTTTTTTTCACCTGGAAACAAGACTAAATATCTTAAGTCACTTGGCTTATCTAGTAAAAGTATCTTGATTTAAGAATTTTTTGGTATTTTGACTAGAAACAAGACAAAAATACCAAGTAAGATAAGCCATTTTTTTGCAGTGAAACTGCACATTTTTAATTATTCACATTTTATATATATATATATATATATTATGTAGGCCACCTTACTTGATAGGTCATCTGCATCGACCATCAATAAAAATCGATGTCAGTCAGTCGACCACTAGTATTGAATTTTCCAGGCCATAGTGTTGCGTTTGATTATATTGCGGTGTTAAAATGGCTTGTTTATTGCCTCTAAAATAATGTAATTTTTTTTTTACAGTATTTCAACAACAGACTCAACGCGTCTGAATGGAGTAATGCAACAGTAACCACCAGGAAGGAGTATTATTTCAATAACTGGATGACTCTGCTATCCCAGCTGCCTTTGCTGCTCTTCACTTTGCTCAACTCTTTTCTCTATCAGTGGTGAGAACTGTTTGTTTGTTTTGACGTATGGACTTTGTGTGTAATACATATAACATTTGCAACCAGTCATATGCACCTGATCATTTGTGTTCCAGGATCTCGGAGAAGATGAGGATAGCAGGCAGTCTGGTCTTCATCCTGCTCCTCTTCATCCTCACTGCTGTGCTGGTGAAGATCCCGATGGAGGAGGACCGCTTCTTCTCCGTCACCATGGCAACCATCTGGTTTATCAATTGTTAGCGGCTAGAGAAACCTCAACATTGTTTAGCATCATTCATATGCGTATAGTATACTGTATGCATGTTAGGGCTGGACGATATGGGCAAAATTTATATCACGATGCATTTCTTAATTTCGGTCGATAGGATATAATTCCGATACCGATACGAACACTATTAAAAAAAAAGCCTCATAAAAACTGCCAAGAACGCCCACAACAGATGTCTGTACCTAAACAATTCAGAGAAATGAATTTTCCAAGTCTATGAAACCTCCTATAAAACTATAAAATATTTAAGAAAAAAAACAGCACACATAAATAGAAATAGAACATCTAATCGTTTTTGATAAATTTAAAGCATCCTTGCTAAATTAAATATTATAAATAAAATAGAATTGCAGCGCCAAATATAATTTCCAAAGAAAAAATTATACTGACTCCGAGCTATTGAATGGAATAGTGTATAATGTTATAAAAGCTTTTTATTTCAGATAAATGCTGATCTTTGGATCTTTCTGTTCATCAAAGAATCCTGAGAAAAAAAAAATATTCTCAACCGTTTTAAATATTGATAATCAGCATATTAGAATGATTTCTGAAGATTAGTAAAAATAATTCAAAATTGTACTGTTTTTGCTGTATTTTGGATCAAATAAATGCAGGCTTGGTGAGCAGAAGAGACTTCTTTAAAAAAAAAAAACATTACAAATCTTACTGTTAAAAAACTGGTAGTGTAGGCTGATTATTCTTATAGATTGAAACAAATGTGCGTCAGCCAGGATGAAGAATATGAAAAGTGCTCTGAGTTGCTGCAGAAAACAAAAACATGTTGCTGGAGGCGGGATTATTATTGAAAATGCAAACTCATTGTCGCCAGCAGGAGGCGCTTTTAGAGCGATAGAACTAGCGGTAACGGCTGTAATCAAAGCAGCTCCGCTCACGAACGCTACTTTATCAGATGAAAATGAAAATGCCATCGAAACTTTTCTGAAGACAGTCGGTTCCCTTCAGAGATTCGTTCATGTAAAACACCCGCGCCGTGTTATGGTTTTGAAATGCGCAGTGCTCGTGTTTATTCAACGAAATCAAACGCCACAAATAAATCAGTGTATGGAAAACACTGGTAATGTATATTGAAAATCATATCACCGTTATTGAAAAAAATAATATCGCGGTACATGTTGATATTGAATTATTGTCCAGCCCTAATGCATGTGTGTTCAAGTATGCATTACATTGATCAAAAGTAAAACAGTAAAGACGTAATGTTATAAAAGATTTCTATTTCAAATAAGTGCTGTTCTTTTGAACTTTCTATTCATCAAAGAATCCCGAAAAATAAAACGTATCACGGTTTCCACAAAAATATCGTGCAGCACAACTGTTTTCAGCATTGATGATAATCAGAAATGTTTCTCGAGCAGCAAATCAGCATATTAGAATGATTTCTGAAGATCATGTGACACTGAAGACTGGAGGAATGATGCTGAAAATACAGCTGCGCATCACAGAAATAAATTACATTTTACAATATATTACCATAGAAAACAGCTATTTGAAATTGTAATAATATTTCACAATTTTACTGTTTTTACTGTATTTTTGATCAAATGAATGCAGCCCTGGTGAGCAGAAGAGACTCCTTTCAAAAACATACAAATAAATCTTACCAACTCCAAACTTATCTCACTGAAAAACACCCTTTTAACTGGTTTCAGAGTAAATGCGTAATTACTGACGTGCATCAAACGATTTTTTTCATGTAGATCACCCTCGTGAAGACGAGTGTTTTTGTGTGCTCGTGGTATTTATGTCTGTGTCTCTCTCTCAGCGTTCGGGGCCGTGTTACAGGGAAGTCTGTTTGGTTTGGTGGGTTTGTTGCCGCAGAGGTACAGCGCTGTCTTTATGAGCGGACAGGGACTCGCTGGGACATTTGCTGCTCTTGCAATGATCTTCGCCATCGCAAGTGAGACACCCTGTTATTTTACTCTCATTGAGATACTATTATAGTTTTTATTAATATCTTATAACTTTCTGTTTTCTTATGTTTAGCATGTGAGGAACCTCTCATGCATTTCTGTGTAGATTTGTTCACGGTGTGTGCGTGTGCGTAACAGGTGAAGCTGATAGTGAGTCTGCAGCTCTGGGTTATTTCATCACTCCGTGTGTCGGGACACTCGTCACGCTCTTCAGTTACATGCTGCTGCCAAAGCTGGTGAGTGTGTGTTTAGATGTAATCCTGTCACATCTGTGCAGTTTCTTAGTCAGCTGAATCTGAGACTGATCTCTGGTGTGTGTGTGTGTGTGTGTGTGTGTGTGTGTGTGCGCAGGAGTTTGCTACATTTTACCTGGACAGAAAAAGCAAGAGTTACGAGCTTGAGACGTCCAACCGGCTTCTGCCTACAGGTGAAACTTAGTCTATAAACTCACAGATATTGGACTGTCATGTCACTAGAGTTAAGAGCAGTGAAGCTTGTTCAGTGTCGCAAGAGAACACTTCTTTTGAACATGTGAAAAAGTACACTTTAGCATACTTGACATGAACTGAATGTAATGTTTTCAGACACTTAATTGCATGCTAATTGAAACTGGATGACAATGTATTACAATTTAAATGTATATTAAATGCAGTTAGCTGAACTTAAGTGTTTTTGACCCACTTAAGTACATCTTTATATGCAATTTCGTAATTCTATATTGTCTTCTAAAATATACTTTAATGTCATTATTTTGGAAACCCTTTTGAGACTTTAAAATATTATTTATGTCTGTGGAGGCAAAGCTGAAACTTTCTTCAAAACTAAAGAACGGCAATTTTTTTTTTAAGCAAGGATGTGTTAAATTGATAAAGTGATAGTAAAGACTTTATTAGATATTGTTACGAACTATTTATATTTTAAATTGTTATTTGTAACACTTTTTTTTATTCATCATAGAATCCTGAAAAATAAAATATATCACAGGTTCCAAAAAATATTGGCCAGCACAACATTGATAATCAGAAATGTTTCTTGAGCAGCAAATCAACATATTATACTGATTTCTGAAGATCATGTGACACTGAAGACTGGAGGAATGATGCTGAAAATACAGCTGCGCATCACAGGAATACATTACAGTTTAACAGAGATTCACATAGAAAACAGCTGTTTTAAAGGGGTCCTATTATGCTCTTTTACAAAGTCTTGATTTTGTTTTGGGGGTGTACTAGAACATGCTCTCATGCTCGGTGGTTCGAAAAACGCATTATTTTTCACATAATTTACATTATTACAATACCTCTCTCCCCAGGCTGGCACAAACAGCTCGATTAGTTCCGGCTTTGATGATGGCCCGCCTTCCGAAAAACAAAATGTGTTGTGATTGGTTAGCTGTCCCAGTGCGTTGTGATTGGCGAACAGTTTAGACGGTGTTTCAGTACTGCCACACCCCTTGCTCCGTCTTTCAGACAAAAGCTTTTTGGCGAATCCGGCACTGTCCTCCCTCGTGTTGTGGAAGCTGTCCTCAGTAAAATGCGCAGCACACAATAGCAAATTGGGGTTATAATGCTCAGGAACCGAGTTAAAAAGGAAATTGCAACCACTGTTTCCTGACATCATCCGCTTTCGGAAGCCCAAACAAAGACGTTTGGACACGGAGGTGAAAAAAACAGCGTTTCAGGCGGTCGCGCACCGTCGCGCCACGTCTTTAAAATTCAAAGACATTATTTTCTATGAGTGTAGGCACACCGGCGGCGCCGTTCGGCGTCTGTCCGCGGCGCCCAGCTACGTCGTGTTATACTTGTAAGAATTGTTCTAGACCAGCGGTTCCCAATCCCAGTCCTTGCGTACCCCCGCTCTGCATGTTTTGCACGTCTCTCTTTGGTAACACACCTGATTCAGATTATTATCTCGTTAGAAGTGAGCTCCGTGCATGAACTTTGTTCCGATTGACATGCTCCCTACACAGTGTCCACTGCTCCCTACTCCCTGAGCAGGGGAAATCCGTTGAAGTTTACTTCACTTGGGAATATTCATTCGGTAATGTCCACTTCGCAGGGCACTTAGTCAAATATAACAAACGTATGAAGCAATAAGAGAAACACACAAAATGTATAGAGCGGGGGTATGCGTGGACTGGAAATGAGAACCGCTGTTCTAGAAATGGCAAAAATGTGAGGCTACAGCACAGCAACTCTTCTTCTTCGTCGTCTCGTCTCATGCGCTCACTCAACCAAGCGTTCTAACCACGACCTCGCCCCTCCCCACCCCCCAACCATTCACATTTCTGTAGGCGGGAATTCTTTGTAATGAAATTCTAATGAGCCGCTTTGTGATATCACAAAGCCCGGAAACCAAACGCTGTAGTCCAAACGAGCCGTTTGCTGTAGTTCTTGAAAATGGATTTTTTAAAAAACTAAATATCTCCCTTTGGAGTGGACTTTGAGTTTTGTAACTTTCTAGATCTTTTTAATGCCCAAACATACACACTGACTAAAATTAAAAAAGTGAAAAAGCATAATAGGACCCCTTTAAATTGTAATAATATTTCACAGTTTTACTGTTTTTACTGTATCTTTGATCAAATAAATCCAGCCCTGGTGAGCAAAAGAGACTTCTTAAAAAAAAAACTAAAAAAAAGGAAAACTTTACTGATCAACTGATGTTGATGGTATATTAACTTATAAGAATATAAAAAAATATATAATATTGAATAACCAACTACGGTTAAAATGATAATCAAGTACTTTACATGTGCTTTAGTATGTTAGTCAACACATGAAAATAAGTGTACTTTAATACATAAAAGATTATTAAAACATGATGATATAAAAAACCTTTAATTAAACGTTATTGTTAAGTGTTTAAAAGTGTACTTAAGTGTGTTAAACAGTCATGAAAATGTCTCTCTTTAAGTCACTGAAGTGTCCTTTTTTATTTCATTGTTGTTTTATATTATCTGCAAGTATGTTTTTTTGTTTAAATATACTTGTATGATTTGAAATACACTACAAGTGCACATTCAATGCAATTAAGCGCACTTATTTTATTTGACGGTGACTCTGTTCCTCCAGTTGATGTTGAAGTCTCGGAAATGACCAGCGATCTGTCTGTTGGCTCCGTGCCGAACGGGAATCCTAATAAAGGTGATAGCGGTGTGAGTGAAGAGGAGGGTGTCAGACAGGCCTTCATCCCGCTGCAGTCAGAAAACACGTCCACGCAGAAGAGCTCCATCCTGGAAGTCTTCAAAAAGGTGCCGTTATATTTTACCAATCAAAGTCAAGTCACCTTTATTTATATAGCGCTTTATACAATACTGGTTGTGTCAAAGCAGCTTTACAGCATCAAACATAGTGTGGCGATAATGTTGGAGGACAATAGAAATCAGGCATATATTAGCGTAGATGCCATTCTTCTTACAATGTAGCAAGTACATCGGGCGTTATGGGAAGTGTTCCCAGGTCCGGTTGACCTAATTAATGCAGCCTAACAATCCTTTAACGGATTTGAATTATAGAAATGTGATAGTGTGTTATGTGTAAGCCAAGTTAAAAAGATGGGTCTTTAATCTAGATTTAAACTGACAAGAGTGTGTCTGCCTCCCGAACAATGCTAGGTAGATTGTTCCGGAGTTTGGGCGCTAAATAGGAAAAGGATCTGGTGCCCGCATTTTATTTTGATATTCTAGGTATTATTAAATGTAACCCTGGAGCACAAAACCAGTCATAAGGGTAAAATCTTTCGAAATTGAGATTTATGCATCATCTGAAAGCTGAATAAATAAGCTTTCCA